TGTCTCCGGTTCTGTTCATAATTTTTATGGATAGGATTTCTAGGCGCAGCCAAGTGGCGGAGGACTTTCACTTTGGTGGCCTCAGAATCTCATCTCTGATTTTTGCGGATGATGTGGTTCTGTTGGCTTCATCGGGTGAGGGCCTCCAGCTCGCACTGGAACGGTTCGCAGCCGAGTGTGAAGCAGCGGGAATGAGGATCAGCACCTCCAAATCTGAGGCCATGGTTCTCAGCCGGAAAAGGGTGGAGTGCCCACTCTGGGTCGGGGATGAGTTCCTGCCCCAAGTGGAGGAGTTCAAGTATCTCGGGGTTTTGTTCGCGAGTGATGGGAGAAGGGAGCCGGAGATCGACAGACGGATTGGGGCTGCAGCTGCAGTAATGCAGACGCTGCACCGGTCCGTCGTGGTGAAGAGGGAGCTGAGTGTAAAAGCGAAGCTCTCAATTTACCGGTCAATCTACGTCCCTACCCTCACCTATGGCCACGAGCTGTGGGTAGTGACCAAAAGAACGAGATCGCGGATACAAGCGGCATCCGTTCGGCCATCCGGGAGGGGCTCAGAGTAGAGCCGCTGCTGCTCCACATCGAAAGGAGCCAGCTGAGGTGGTTCGGGCATCTGACAAGGATGCCCCCTGGGCGCCTCCTGGGTGAGGTGTTCCAGGCATGTCCCACCGGGAGGAGGCCCCGGGGCAGACCCAGGACACGCTGGAGAGATTATATCTCTCGGCTGGCCAGGGAAAGCCTTGGTGTTCCCCCGGATAAGCTGGAGGAGGTGGCTGGGGAGAGGGAGGTCTGGGCCTCTTTGCTTAGGCTGCTGCCCCCGCGGCCCGGCCTCGGATAAAGCGGATGAGGATGGATGGATAGATGTTTTTGGAATGACTTTCCCACCTTCCTAGCAAAAGAGAAAGAAAGGAAAAGCAACTCAAGACTTTTGCACAGTAGTGTTTTTTGGTTTTGTTTTTTTAAGTATTAACCCACACTCCTCCCAGGTGATACCCTCACACTGAACATTTGACAGTAGGGGTCAATGGCTGCATCTGCAGATTGAAGCTGTGTGAAGTCAAAAAAGGGGATACTCAGTGGCCAGGTGAGAGTAGAGACAGGACAAAGTCAATACATTTAAGTCTAGATTAAAACTAGGGCAGCTGTCTTCTAAGGCAGAAGACAGAATCTAGCTAAATCCAGTGGAGTGGTTTGGTTTAAACTAGATTAAAACCAACAATTATATATTTTAAAATAAAATAATTAAACATACTCACCGAAAATGGATTTAGCTACATTCTGGGCCGCGTTTCCGAATGCAGTAGGTAGCGAGCTGACTGGAGACCGTAACAGCCAATCAGAATTTTTGCATCAAGTCTGTGATTGGCAGGTTTTGTGGCACACTTACAGTATAACGGTGTACAGTGGTCCCTCGCGGTCCTGATTGGCTGTAGACCATTGTCAATCAATCTCGTGCCTCCTGTCTCCTGAATAGTACAGAATGCGTTCAGTTGTCCAATTTATATAAATATTCGATCGTTAGCGGTGTGACTCTGAAATGCTGTACTGTATGTTTGTACGTTTTCTCCCCAACAAACACCACAATGTCGACGAAACGTTTTGCACCGTCGTCAAAGGCACCTGCGGGTATCTTTGGTTTCATTCTGTGATACTGGACTTATTTTTCTACGAAGGTTTGAACTTTGAGAGTGTTTAAACAAGAGAGAAAAGTGTGAAAATGTTCATGCCTGTCTGAGAAAAATGTATAAAGTGTGTAGTCCGGGGTTTTACAGCCTTAAAACATCTATAATAACTGTAAAAAATAAAGTTGGCTACTTCGAGGATTTCATCTATTTCATAACTCCCGCGATAAACGAGGCACCACTCTATAGAGAGTTGAGCGCGCACGAAGCAGAGATGTGAGCATGAAGACCTAGGGCAGGTCCGCAGGTATCTGTCAGCACACAGCAGAGATCTGAACAAGAGCAAATGCCAACAACTGAGCGAGAGGGGCTGTTATTGTGTGTGCAATAATAACAAATAATAGCAAACACTGAAATACATTTCTTGCATGAAGAAATTAATTTTGTCCCCTCAAATTAAACTTTTCTTCGCTCAAAATAACCTTCTTCTCAAAATGCAACATTTGCGCATGCATTTCTTTTAACGTGCGATCAGAGAAGAGGCACAGAAATAAACAATACTTTGGGCCGATGTTAGCAAGTGTGCGTTCATAGAACCAGTAAGTCACGTTGGGAACCTATTTTTATTTCTGTTGCAGTTAATTTACCCATGTAGACACCCATTACTACTGCCTGTGTGACAGCTATGCTGTAGAAGTAAAGTAGATAGTAGCCTGACTTCACAGGGTATTTCTAAGTTGTTTTCTGTTGTTGTGGAGAGTAATTGTTCAGAAAGGTTTTACCTGATGCAGTTACTGTGCTAACATACGAACCTGTTCTTGCTAATAACCCCTGTGTAAACATAGCGGCATTTGATTGAGCAATTGTGTCCACTAGAGGGTGGTGTTGATTTAATCTAAATTGGCTATAAGCCATCCTGTCATGTCTTTATGATAATCTTTTCATGGTGTCTGTTTCTGTCCACGCTTAAATGGTGTTCTCTGTAGTGCTTAATGTGAGAGATGCTGAACCAGTGAAAGATGTTTATGTTATTGTACTAATTTAAGAACCACATCCGTACCAGCTAGAGCGTGTGTTCGATGCGGGCCAGTTTTAAATAAAGTTCTTCAGCACTGTGACATAATTCCCCGTCTCTGACCGGACCTTATTAACAGGGAACAGTACAGAATCACGTTTCAGAGATAGTGGACTAGTGTGTTCACATTCTGTTGTAACCCATAAACTGAACGGTAATGTAACGACATCCATCTTTCACTTTCACAAAAGTAAAACATCACCACTTCCACCTATAGTTGGTTGTAATGGAGGTGGAGTAAAATGGATCCACTCTCCCTGCCCAGCGCGTACTCCCCATGCAAGGGAAGCAAATTCTGTCGGGGATACCTGCCTTGGCACAACACGTCCTTGCACAACAACCTTGTGTTGCAGCCAATGAAACAGACTCTTCCTCCTTTGCCCAGGTGTGCTGGGGCACAAGCGGTTAATACCTTTTAAATGGTTTTAATTTTCTGTCTTTATTGATTTTACATTGCACGATTAATCAGATAAGAGGAGCAGGGAGTTAGTACATTTAAAATTGTTAGCCCCACGTCAGGGATGATTGGGTACAAAAACAGACACGCACACTTCAGGGCCCTTTTGGAAATATTTTAGTATTATTATTGTTGTTGTTGTTGTTGTTATTTGCCTGTGCCATTTGTCACTTTAGCAATCAGAATTGTTTTCTTAAGGCCAGCCAAGAAAAACAGGGGAACGGGGGACAGTAAGAGAAGACACTGAGAGAATCCGTTGGATCCCCTGTTAAAACAAGAAAAAAGAAAACAAACAAGAGAACAACACAATACAGAGATCAAAGCAACAACTAGATATGTATAAGTAACAGTAAATACTAAATATTGAATGTTATTGAGCAGCACGCAAGGCCAACAGCGCACAATATGCTTTAAGATAGCATACAAGGAAGATATAGTTTGTGTCTGTGAGCACCCGTGTGTACACCTGTGTGCATGAGCGCGTTTGCGTTCAAAAGGTTTCTCCATGTAACAATCTGCTAGAGGGTGTGGGAAGCCATAGCCCTGGCCCCAGAGCATGAAGCAGCCATGGAGAAGACCCAGGCCCCAGACATCCACAGGCCCTCCAGAGTGTGAAAGCCCAAGGAGGACCACTGGAGAGGCAAATGCACCACATTCCCAGAAAGAGCTGAGGAGAGCACCAGATGTGGGGTCACCCAGCAGCCACGGTGCAGATGCCACAGGTGGCTGCGGTGATGAGCCCGCAGGCCATGCCGGCAGACAGTCATGCCAGAGCGGATCGAGCCCCAGTCCCTGAGGTCCGAGGGAACCCCACCCCCCCAGATAGGGTCCGACCTGGCCAGGGGCGCCAGGCCTCACCAAGCAGCCAGTGGGAGTATGCGGGGTACATACCTGAGCGCCCAGCCCCAGACACTGAGAACCACCAAAGGTTCTGAGGGCTGAGGGCATCAGTTTGACATAGACAAACTGGCACACACAGACACAAGCATACATTCCCACCCTCATGCACATAAATACAAATACTCAGCACTCGCGCAACGTGGAGACAAACAGAAATGAACACTATACACCCTTTCACACTTCCCAAACATACTTTACACTCCGAGGTTCAGGTACCACCGCCCCCAGGGGGGCAATGAGCCCCCAGAGCCAGGAGATGTTACCCTTTTCCCTGGGGTGGAGGGACGGACTGCCCCCGGCCCGGCAGCTGCAGGGATGGCCCAGCGTCCCAGACCCCGACCAGACTGCCAACTCCTCCCAACCCCCTGCCCCGATCGTGTACAGAGAATGGGGGTGTGAAGACCCCACACCTTACTCAGCCCGCTCATATGTCTTGTTGATGTGTAATGTTCTAAAGTGCATTTAAAACACAGGAGTGGCATGGTGCTTCCTGCCAGGAAGCAGTAGGTGTCAGCAAAGCCCCTCCTGCCCCTCCTGGGGCATCGGCCCCAGGAAAGACTATTATTTAAAGTTTGCTGTGTTTTCGGAGAGTAACAATGCACTGTGTCATACATTCAAACTACAAAGCATACCAAATGTTCTTACTTTCTTTGAAGAAAGTACTGCCCCTGCCCCAGTCTAAGAACTGAGACTGAAGGAGTCACTTGGATGAGTGACGAAATGTTTCTCCCACAAAACGCTACGTCCAGATGAACAGAATCAACTTTTGGAGATCAGCAGGAATACTTCAAAGAAATGACAGCGCAGTAAACACAAAAAGGGAGAAACATTAGTAGCAGTAACCCAAATTATCCCCCATGTTAAATCTGCACTCACTCACATCATGCTTGTTTTTCATGTGTTGACGTTTGTAGTCATTTGTAACCATAATGGCTTCTTTCCCTCAGCTTTTGAAGTATGACAAAGAAGTTGCAGCCTTCCATGATGTTATTAGGGAAGAGGACATCAAGTTTCCACCAAGGTCTGTAACTCTGCTACTTGCTGCAAATTTCTGCCATTTACTTTTCATGCTTTAAGAATTTGTTCCCCTCTTGTCTTGTGCTCAGCTACCCATACAGTGAAGAGCATGCTAAACCAACCCAGTACATGAACACTCGCTGTCCTGCCTGGTGTGATCGCATCCTTATGTCACATACAGCCCAAGATTTAATCCACAGGGTGAGTCTTTGCACAATCACATCATTTCATGATGACAAGAACACAATTTGATATAATACGTGAGTTAGCATGACGTGTTAAGGAAGCACTTTGGCAAGCTAGCCAGCCAACATTTCTAGTCAATGTGTTTTAGCAGTAGCATTAGTTAGCAACATTTTAAGGTTAACCAATTATGCTGCATGACTCTGACTCTGGTTAGTTCGTAAACCTTTGCTGATAGTGACGGGTTAATTTATCAGCCAGAGCAGTTCTAGGGGTTTAAAAAAATTAGCTAGCATTATCTATTTAAGATAGTGTTTCGCTACAATATGTAGCTTGCAGTTTGTCTGTTTTTGCAGGAAAGCTAATGTTAGCTAACAGATGGTGATACCTGTGTTTGCAAAAAGACTTCTTTTCCTGTAGAAGTCTGTGAGCCAAAGTCTGTAAAAGTCCTCCTGAGTTTTTGGGATTGTTCTGGATCATATTTTGAAATTGAGGATTAACTTTGGTGTAAAACTACATCTTCATTGCATAAGAAGTTGTAAATCACAAGTCATTAGACAACGGGCTTCGCATACTTTGGTACACGGTTTTACATTCGTGCACACATACTGTATAACCTTTAATATATAATGTGATGTAAATCCACTATGAACATAATCCAGCCCACACAAATGTGATACTCAAAATTTAACTTAATATAATTTAAGAAGAATCTGTTCGTTATGTTTACATAATGATCTTCAAGTTCATTCTTCTTTTCAGAGAGACGATGGTGAGAAGAGTGTTGTTTACAACACAATGGGTCCTAATGTCTGTATGGGAGATCATAAGGTAACAGATTACATAAGCAGTGTGTTGTGCACATCAGCCATGTGGACTGACTCTGATGTTTTTTGTTTTTCTTCTGTAGCCTGTGTTCTTGTCCTTCTCACTGAAGACAAATGACCACATCTGATACTTCTAAATGGTAAGAAGTTTCACTGAGTGTGTGTGTTCTGTACTGCATGTGCAAGTGCAGCTGAGTCGATGTGGTAATTCCAGTGAATGGATTCAGTGTGAGAGAGTGAGCGCAGTAATCTTTCTCTGGTCCCTGGAGAGCCATAACCTTACTGGCCCAGTGGAGTCGGGATATGAACTAAGTAATGCGTGCGGGACATAAGAGATCCTTTGTGCACATCGTAGTTGGAGTGCAGGCGATCTGCACTCTCGCTGATCTATGTCTATTGAATCCTCCTCACTGTCACTGTGGCTACACATTAGGTTTAATGCTGGCCTGCTTTTCATTAATTACCACATGGATGGCTGGCTGGAGACACATTCACATTGTGCGGGGCATTTTTACGGCCATTTTTATGGCCATGATTTTGTTTTGCTGCCATTTCAATTTTTTTTTTAAGGAAGAACTGCCTTTTCATGATTGTCCTTCTTCACAATGGGAGTGCTTGAAGAGGCTACAACTATCTTCTTTTGTGTTTTTGACATTTCAAGGCATATGAAAGGTTTGGCCTACTGCTATTATTTTTAGGCTACATTTTAGCTCTTGCAAGGTGTGTTCATAAACATGTTGTTTATGTAACCGTTGTTTTTTTGTGAAGTAATGCCTTGTGTCTTGTCTAGGCTTTGCTGCCTCCGTCCTGATTGGGTGCTGCTGCCTAAATCAAGTCGATCAGCAAAGCCCTGTATGTCTGGGGAGCTGTACTTCTGGCCATTTTGACTGCTCATACTCACTCATTGGGTTTTAGAGGCTTAAATGCCTTTGAGTTGTATTTTTAGCCACATGTGATTTTGTTTAGACTGTGTTTGTAGGGTAGAGCTGCCTTTAATTTGTTATCCCTAATTTTCTCCTGTTTATGTGGTGATTAGGTAGGTTATTTTTGTAGGGTGTATATTTTGTTTTATTTGGAATTAAGCAAGTTAACTTTTAATTTCTTTTTAGGGATGTTGTATTTGTAATATTGGCAATATTTCCTTAAACTTAAATGTCAATCTGAACCAAACCGAGATTTAAACTAGCAGAAAATAAACATTTAACAAAATCTTATTAAAAATTATTTTCTTGATATTTAATCTGTGTATTAATAAATATACTATAAACAATGTTAATGTAACTAAAATAGTTGGTGAAATGAAGGAATAAAAAACTAAAACTCACTTTTGAGAAGTACATGAAGTTTGATCCATGCTTAATAAACTTGAGCTTAAAGTGAACTCTCCAAGTTGCCTCATCAGAGAGTTGCAGTCAGCTTTGTTTGCTAAGCAGCTTCAAAAACTTATCTTGCAGGTGTGACTGACACAGTTATTGTGTATGCTCTTCATCAGTAACAAGCAGCTCATTTGCTGTGAAACATAAACTTTCTATTCTCCCTCTCTTATCTCCAGTGGTACCACAGCCATAAAATATTTCTTAATGAACCGTTTAGAAAATCTTTCCCCCGACACACACACAAAGAGAAACAAAAACCCAAATGCTTCTAAAATGTGAAATTTAATTTGTATAGCCATTTCATTTAGTAAAATCAACTGCAAAAAAACAAAACAACTTTTTCTTGTTGCTTTTTATGCATCAAATGCTCTATAAAGACTTACCAGAGTTCTTGTTGTTGCTCTGCTTCACCATCTTGAAGAAATAAGTAATACTTCTCATATGCGTCTGGATAGAAGATGTGCTTGCGTCTGTTTGTTGGTATGAATGTCATGAAGTGACAAAATGGACTGGTTCCTATGTAGCGCTTTTATACTCTGAGCACTCAAAGTGCTTTACACAACTTGTACATTCACTTATTTGCATTAGCATCTGTTTCTATGCTTTTTCTAAGTGCTTTCTATCTAACATTCACATGCATTCATACTCTCCTGAATGCACCGGAGAGCAACATGGGATTTGGCAGACTGGAGCAGACTAGGATCAAACCACCAACCTTCCAGTTAGTAGGTGACCTGCTCTTCCACCTGAGCTACAGCCACCCCATTTCTTCTGTGCAGTGCGGAAGAGCATCAGTCAAGATGGTGAGATGGACTTGTGCCCTTTGTGACTCTGGTAGTTCTTCTGAGGATACACTGCCATCTTGCCACACCTTCACCATCTGTGAGCACAAACTGCTGCTCTGCCAGCATGTAGAAAAATCACAGAAGTGAAAACCATTACTACTATTAGAGCTCAAGTTTGGATAGTTTAGCTCTAAATATGTCACACTAGCTCTTAATTTCAACAATCCATTGAACAGACAGGAGATTAGTGGACAGCTTGGCATTATATTTCACAATTATGGCCAATGAATTGTTGCATGATAGAGCATCTCTTAATTCTGAATGAATACAGTAAGGTATCACTTTCAATTCAGGTGTCAAAGTAATTTTTCAAAACTACATTTTTTTTCCTTTTCCCTTAACAAAAATACCCCACACTGTAAATATATAAAACTATTAATAATATATAAACTTTTTTTTTTTTGATTTGTATATTTGTACATTTTATATTTTTTCTTAATACTCTTCATGTGTATAAAGTGCTGTAGAAACTGTGCACCTCACCTCCTTTCTTTTCCCACATGTTTGCACTGAGTAGGAGATTCTCTGTATCTCATTGTACATGTGTATAGTGACAACAAAAGGCATTCTATTCTCTATTCTATTACTGCCTGGCTAATAGTGACGAACTTCAGGGGAATTCATGATGACAGAAAGGTCGAAACACTGAAGTCTTTTCTTGTTTTTGTGACTTCAGCATGCTGGCAGACTTAAAGATTTGTAAGTGATACTTACAGGGTAGAAACTTCTTTTTCATCCATTTAATCAAATATTTTATGCCTGAGCTGTCTCAGTCCCTCTGTAGCATTCTGCAACTATGACTAACCTGAGGAGGCTTGGTTTTGGCTGCAGGTATCCCTGTACATCCTTCTCAACAGTACACATATAACGACTCAGTCACACTTCCTCAGCGTTGCTCCCTCACAAAACCAAAGCCTTTTGCCAGGAAGAGTTTGGAAGAGGTATCAGCCACCTGAAAGAAGAAAGATTTAAACTAAACCTGGTTTTGTATTGCACCTGTTGCATCCGCAAAGCAACCAGCGTTAGGGATAATCCCACGCACCCGTCCCACACACACACTCTCTTCACCCTGCTGTGTTTTTGACAAGAGGTACTGGAGGATTAGGACCCTCATTGCCAGACTGCGAAATACTTTCTTCCACCAAGCCGTCAGTCCAGTCACTGAGTGTTCAGGAGTCTGACACACATGCTCACCTTCATAAATCAAGTTGTATGAAGGTGTGCCAGAAATGCACACTTGCACTTTATGTTGTCCTGTGTTGATTGTCTGTTTTATGTAGCACCATGGTCTTGGTGCTACTTCACAGTGTACTGTACCACTGCACATGGTTGAAATGACAATAAAGCAACTTGACTTGACTTCTTTTCCTGCAAAAAGACTGAGATCAGCAAAGGCCAGAGAACACAAGACACACAAGGTGCAACACTCAGACTCAAACAGCCTTCAGAAATGAAGGCACAGTGTTCGTCCAGTCATACTAGAAATGATTATGTATTAGAATAATAACTAAGAAACAAACTTTGAAGAAGAAAGAAGATGTGGATGGGCTGGTGTTCGCTGACTGGTCATTTCTGGTAGTCCGCTATCATTTCTGTAGTTTTGCTGATGTTGAGAGACAGGTTATTTTCCAGGCACCACTCGTACAGTGCCATCACCTCTTCTCTATAGGCCCTCTCATCGTTGTCTGCGATGAGGCCTATGATGGTTGTGTCATCTGAAAACTTGATAATGGTGTTGGACTTATGCTTAGCAACGCAGTCGTGTGTAAACAGGGAATAAAGGAGGGGGCTAAGCACACAAGCCTGTGGCGTTCCTGTGTTTAGGATGAGTGATGAGGTGGTGTGCTTACCAATTCTCACCATCACCAGCTTTTCTTTGCTCAAAATAAATTTCTCCTCAAAATGCAACACTTGCACCTGCATTTTTATTTTATTTATTTATTTTTTACGTGCGCTCAAAAGATTTTTTTAAGTGCACTCAGAATAGTGACACAAAAATAACGCTATAAATGGGGAACAGGTGGGAACACAGATGAGACAAATCAGACCTAACGAGACAAGGGCAAACAAAACCAGACGCACAGCACATAGGACAGGACTTTCACAATAAAACGGGAAACAGCATGGAACGCAGACATGACAACGCAAACTTGACAACATGGACAAGACGAAACTGAAAATGTTACGTCCAGATGAACAGAATCAACCTTTTGGGATTTTCTAACCCGGATGGTTAAGCATGTATCAGGATAAATACTCATATATAACTATTTCAGGGATCATCTAAACTCCAAGACATCAGGAATTATCACCCAATAAAAACTGCTGGCTGACTAACCGACAAACACAATGAATAGAACCTGATGTAAAGCTTTATATATGAATTATTTTCTTTTTGTTAAACATGTAAATGTGCAGAGTCTTTGACATCAAAGGTTGATGTAAATTTACTGATTTGATAAAAATAAAAGGTTCACTCTATTGTAATGTGTATGACTTAAAACACTGAGTGCAAAATGTGCTGTTTAAAGCAGTTTTCTGTGAAAGTGTTTGATGGTTAAACTATGGCAACATTAATAAAATGTATTTTGTTGCTCTTAATATTATGAAACTTACTGCAAATAGCACTATTATTAAATCGATAATGGTAAAGAAAAGAAATACGTGACCTTCAAATATAAAAAGATTGTGTAGCTGAAAACAGACACTTGCAGAAGACTGAAAATGATAAAATCTGCAGCAGCTGCAAATGTGCAGCAGTTAAATATTAATCGTAGATGAAGGTCAAATCTTCATGTGGTTCTCAAAAGTGAAAGCAGAGTTTGCGGGTTTCAATATGACTTGTTTACAACTTTATCTACATTTATAGTTATATTGAATGCTTTATCTGAAATACTTTGTCATTAATATTAAAAAAAATAACAGACAAACACAATGAATAGCACCTGATGTAAAATTTTGTATATGAATTATTTTCTTTTTGTTAAACTTGTAAATCTGCAGAGTCTTTGAGATGAAAAGTTGATGTAAATTTACTGAACTGCATTTCTATATTATTAAAATATACTCAACCTGTTCTTGTTTCATAAAAATAAAAGATTCACTCTGTTGTAATGTGTATGTATCACGTCTGGTGTGGCAGACGTGTGGAGTTGTAGAAAGGACCCAAAAGGCGGCAGCTCTGGTGCAGGTGAGTATTTATTTACAGGAGTGGGTACAAACAGCAATGGTGGGTGAACATGAAACCGGAAACCAAAACTGGGTAAAACTAACAAAACAACCCAGAAACGAAGATGCAGGGAGGTCCGGGGAAATACATACAGAGAGACGCAGGGAGATCGAGGGGAAACAACACAGACGAACCAGCAACGAGGACGAGGTAACACACACTATAAACACACACACCAGGAATCAGGAGAAGGGAAACAGGAGGGGAACACACCTGGAAGACATCACAGCTGACGAGGCAGGGGAAACGTAACCAGAACACACTGACATAAGACACAGACCTTCACAATAAAACAGGAACTTACAAAGCAAGGACACAGACTAAGAAACGCGGACTTAACACAGGAATACATGAGCAGAAC